TGGGGCAATATTGGGGGTATATTGGGATAATGGAAGATAAAATGGAAACTACTATTTTGGGTTTAGGGTTTCCCTTAATTTGGGGTACCATTTTTGAGTCTATATGTGGGTTTAGGGTTTAGGGCACCATTTTAGGGGTCCATACAATAAGGATTATGGTGTTTCGGGTGTAAATTAGGTTGCCCATATTTAGGGAAACTACCACGTCCAGTAAAAAGACGCTAGTGGGGACCCCACACAGGGAACCCCAAGAATCTAGTTATCAGGACCCCATGTTCCTATTATATTCTTACTATGTTCTTGGGGTTCCTTGTTTCTGGTCCCCATTCGAGTCCCTTTATACAAAGCATGTTTGAAGGTTTGCAAGAGAAACATAGTGTTCTCTTTTTGGCGAGTCCGAACTATCTTTGAAATATTTTTAGGGGAGGTCCCAGTCTTGGAAAGAACTTGCCATTTGGCAACAAAGCTGTGGAAGCTGCTGCAAAGTTTCAGCTGAAACCCAAACCCTAAACCCTAAACCCTAAATTACTAAACCCTAAAGCCTAAGCATCCTAAATGTGGGCACCCTTATGTGGCAGCTTTGCTCTGTTCACGCGGTAGGTGATCATCAAGAGGTCTATGAGACAATGCTCTGTCTATAGTCCGCTTTAAGTAAATAGAACATGGGGTATATGGGGATCTTACTATAATATACCCAAAGCCATATTCTATCTACTGAAGGGGGACTATATGGTCCCCGCATATCTGAGATCCCTGAGCGGATTCCTCTCCATACGGTCTTCAATCGAAGTCGTAGCTTTTATGGCTTTAACTACCATCTAAGGGGGCTTGTTCGGGAGTTTTTTAAATTTCCCTCTTTCGACTCCGACTAGGGACCGCCATAATCCTTTCGAACTTCCCGTATCCTTCAGGTCACAGGACTTCTGCTTCTGGCCCCTGCAAAAGGAAATTTTTGCATAGATCTACACAAACATACTCACCAAATGTTTCTCCACATCAGCCGGGGTGCAGCAGACTCCACCACATGCCGCCAGGTTCAAAAGCCGCGCCTGGGCAATTAACAAAATGAAGTTTCTCAAGGCAATGGTGGCAAGGGGACATAGAGGATTTAGGGTACCAGTAATGCAAGAAAGCGGAAAATGACATGGAAACTGGGGTTATTTAGGTATTTCCAGGGATGATTACCAATCTCATGGGGTACTAGCTCGGAGCCCTGAAAGGCGTGCCCTCAATATCTATGCAATCTACTGCGCAAACTACAGAAAAAGAGCTCAGAATTCGTGAGCAGTTTTTGAGCTACGAGACTTTCGAGGTCGCTTCCTACACTACATGATCGGACTGCGATTTGGGTCTACTTGCATACTCCGTTCTTACATTGATTCTGAAGGAATGAGTGGGTTTGCTTTGCTTTGAAGGAGATGCTGCCCGCAGCCTGTAGCTTGAGGGTGAGGGCTCGAAGCCAGTGCTTTCAATCCGTTGTTGTGTGGAACGTGGAGGTGCCCCAGTACATGACCAGAAGCAACCAAACAATGTCAGTGTGTACGAGTGTTTGCTCGTGCTTGTCAGCATCAGGTGCAAAACACCCGCAGTCTTGACATGGTCAGAGCGGCTTTCAATCGCAAAAACTTCAGCATTGCTGTGAGGAGATGCCAACTCTGGCCTGGCAGTGCGACTTGAGATTGCCCCTTCCGAGATGCTTCGACCAGGTCTGTATCGGCGAAATTTAAGTCAGCATGCTTGCGGAAGCAACACCTGTTCTGGCGGTGGCCAGGCTCCAAGAACAGATCTGCGATATCCATGTTCGACGTGAGCGTGAGAGCTGCGGAGATGTTTTTCAGATTTGAAGTTAGCCTCCTCCAGCAGAAGTTGCGTGATCGTGACGTGACCCTTGCGAGGCGCAGACTGCAAAGACCTGTCGCCATGCCAGTCGCTGTGATGCGTGCCAGTGCTAGCTCACGGCAGTCTGATAGTCTCGAGATGTCTGCATGTCCATGCATACAGAAGGTCCGCCTACTCTTCGTCTGTCACCTCTGCGTCGTCGGCTGCTTTCAACGCCACCGAACGATTTCAATGTGGCCATGGTGCGAATCTATCTCTGCACGCCTAAACCCCCTCAAAACACCCACGTTGCAGAATCCTAAGGCTGCCTACCAACAACTGACACCCAAAGCCCAAGGCCACGACTGGCAGTGGGTGCAGGCTCTCGTCGAACGGCTAGGCCCTGGCGTGCCGACTGCTGCCATTCGGTTTTGTCGGTTGAGGGTTTAGGTAGGGTGTGGTATCGGTAAGAACCAATGGCGATGATATTCAAGCTAAGCAGACAAGGCTAATTATGAATATCGAAAGCTGACCAAATAATACCAGAAAGGATGGTGTTGACTGGTTTCCTGTTTTCTTTACGACAGTAAGCGTCTTTTATGACAGTGAGGTTCTAACTGAGCACGGCCTAAATATGCCGAACTGCAAGCGCTCCCCGGGGCTTTCTGCACTGGAGGCCATGAAAGGTTTTGAACATCAAGCGTCTGCGGGCTTGACGAGCATCTTCATTGTAAAGACTATAGTATACAACGGGATTTGCAGAGAACGGGCATGGTAGGGACAGCGGCGAGAGGTTTCGCAGTGGCTACTGTGGCTCTCAATCGCCTGTCTGAGAGTTCTCAAGCAGACAGGATGCTGGCAATTGGGCAAACGTTGCTCTGGGGTCCCATGTGTTTTCCATTTTAAGCGTGGTCAAGACAGTGGGAACTACTTTGTATTGAATAGATGCTGCTCCATAATTTCTGGAAACTACCAACAGCCCTTGAAGGCTGATGCCGTGCCTCCATGGGCTCTTGAATCGGCTCGTGCGAATCATCCCCATAAAGCCTTAGCGGAAGCATGTCTTCTTCTGGTGGACCGAGGTGGAACATGAGTCCAGGAAAGCCCTGCTTCCATGTCTGCGGTGTCACTGGCCATGCAGATCCTGCTGTGCCCCAATCATTAGCATATAGAAGGCGGCTCTTCAATGTAAGCCCTCCTTTCAGCTGAGTGAGGCCAGTCTGGCTCCTTTTATGTTGGGGCACCTAATCGCTTCCAGCATTCCTGAGAGTAGCACGTTTGCAATGGGGAATGCATTTCATACTCACGGGCTGGGGGATGGGGGTTATTCAATATTTGGGGATGGGATTGCGCGCGAACCGCAGGCGCTACCCTAACAGAAGAGGTGGAGTGTTGGTGCAACCCATGGTAAGAACGCCCCAGAACCTAGACACCAGTAACTACACTGTTGCCTCAGATTCTTAAAATCATCGATATCAAAATCTTCAGAGGTCCTACATCCCAAGAACAGTGAACAACCCAAATCCAACTCCGTACTCGTTAGGCCTATGCTGAGAGTCTGTTTAGGATTTTGACAACCTGGTTTTGGCGCGATGCGGGTTGGAAGAATAAAGGACAGCCAGGGAAACAACACTACAACCAAGTGGGACGAAAGGTAATTATGGCCGAACGCCTTGCCTCGAAGTTTCGGGCTGGTGGTATTCCTAGGAAAGCTCGCAGCTCTTACTTCTTCTGGTAGCCGACTTGGGCAATCTACGCTCCGGGTGTCACCGACAAGAACACCTAAAAAGGAAGTCTCTCTGACTCTCCATTCACATGTCCACAGCACGGACAATAGTCACCAGACCCGAAAACCGCATCCTTTGAAGGCCTTCTGTATAACTGCATTCTCAATCCCTTAACTTCTGCTTCCGGCTGCTGCTTCCGGATGAGACACTGCCCCATCCTATATCTTTGCAACAGCCAGGCAAACAATGGGACAGCACCCGACCAGTCTCTCAATTCAAGTAGCCGCGTAGCTGCCTTCCCGTGTCCGAGTGCGCTTCGCCAGATGGGCCATGCATATCGCTGACAAACTGCCTGCGATGTCTCCAAATGTGATTCTCTTGCATGCGCACGAATGTGCATCAAATTGAATCTCCTTCTACAATCAAGTACACAGATGCTGAACGTGTCCTCAGGCTCCAGGAACTTTCGGTGCGAAGCAAAAAAATCAAGTTGCATCGCCAAGAATTCGAGGATTCGGGCTTCACAGATCCACGATTCCTTTCTCACAGCATGTACAGAGAACCCCCTGAATCCCCATTTCCAGTATGCTAAGGTGAAGCGTGGACAGACATGCTAAAATGGGCAGCCGCGCGCACTGTACATTTCATATGGCACGCCATGTACTCTACCATGTCCTCGCATGTTGTTTAGACTCGCGTGCGTTCAAATCCCCTCCCCCTGATATTAAGCCCCCCGCACGGCCCCTAATATTAGATACTGCCAATATACTATAATATACCACAATGGTTAATATTAGGGGGGTGGAGGGGTTTAATATTAGGGGAGGGGAGTACGGGTGACTACAACATGAGCTCCAACCTGAATCTTGTCAACTCCCGCGGTGTCAGCAGCGTGTCTGTAATCCGGAGGTAGGTCAGAGAGTGCAGGTCATCCTGAGGCTTTGTGAAGCTGCTCTGGTCATGCTTGTCCATAGGAGCCATTGTCTAAACCCTAAATATGCCCCCTCAATACCCCCTATACTACTCCGCTATAATACTGCCCTATTCTACTCCCCTACATAACCCCCTTTTAGGTGGCTGGACCATACCTCATACAGAATGAATTTTCACAACGCTCAGCAGGCATCGGGGGCAGGTTTCCTGACAGGGTCTAGAAGCACTGGCGAAATCTCCGGATCTTGCCTATGGGTTCAGCAACTTCAGTTAGATGCTTTACCCAAGCAATAATTGCCGCTTAAGCCCCAGCCGTCAAGCCGTGAACTGGGAAACTAGGACTACAACTTCAAGGGGTTTGGGTACAGTCCACTGTAATTCTAGAAGACCTCGCAATGTCAGCACGGGCTGCAAAGATCTAGGCAAGAGCCCCAAACAAAATCCATCACCCCAAAGCATAACCTCGCAGAGTCTGGCAAGGGAGCTGATTGCCATACCTATTCCTATACCTGATTGAAAGCTTTACCCTCCGAACTCATAGCAGCCACCAACCAAAAGCGCCTCATGTCTGAAGCTCCCTTTCAAAGTCATATCCCTGAGCTCCTTGTATGAGAGCATCTGCTCGTAGGCTCGCTGGTCGTAACCTGATTGCGTCCCTCCGAAACAACGGCAGGAAAAGGCGAAGGAGATAATCGCATGCCTCTAGACGATGAGAGAAGCATCATCAAATCTTATGATGACGTCGGGCAGACTTTCCTGGAAGAAGTTTTGTGAGAAACAACGGGCACCGCTGAGACACTCAGCTTAGCCAGACACTTAAACTTGAAATGTTGATGGGGCGCACATTTGAATGTCCCGCACGCCACGGAACGTGATGCCCTTTGCTGCATACCAGCCTTGATATGGGGGTTCGCAAACTTCAGGATCCTTTTTTCAGGGATCCGCAGGACAAGGGGTGTCCTTCAAGATGTGACAGTAACTTGAACATTGAGACATACCCAGGAGGGAACGTCCGAATGCGGCTGATGAGTTTGAGACATCCTCAGATGTAGAATCTAAGGCACCATCCCCGGACTGACTGGGGATTGGGGTTTATGGTTTTTGGGGCCCCTTTACGGGTAGAGTGGATGCTTGACATGTCCAGAAGTACCTGGACCTCACCCTCCCCGTCTCTCCATTCCTTACTCAGCATCAGGGCGAACCCTGAACTCTAATATGAGGACTTCCCAGAATTTGGGGTGCCTTTTTGGGGGGACCCAATAATAAGGACTATAGTATTTTGGGGTCTACATTGGGGTTCCCTCATTTGGGAAACTTCCATATAGACCTAACCCTACACCCAAACCTTGGCAGAATCTCCTGCTCCAACCCTTTCCCCTCCAGGCCCAGTGGCGCTGCAGAGCATTCTCGCCTGCAAAGGCCAGCCCCGCCTCCTTGGCTGCCTGGGCAAGTGGAGAACTAAAACAAACAAGACACAATTGTAGATACATAATATGCGCATGTACAAGCATAACGCATTTGTATGCATATATGCAGACATGTACATGCATGTGTGTATGTGAGGGCATATGGGTATGCGTCTGTTTTGTGCATGATCATACAAATGAAGCATGTGCGCGTACATGTGCGCGTACATGTGCGCACTGATGCTCATAATCGAACAGATAACGTAAACCTCCACAGTATGAGGCTGACTCATGACACGGACACTGAAAGGATGAGAGAACTTGTGAAGATGGCACAGAGGATGATTGATGCAAGCTGATCGTGCCGAAGGTACTAGGTATACGATCAACGATTGTGCAGCGCGGTCAAAAATGAAGCCCACTAAAGTAAGATGATGGATGCTTCGGCCCTATGCGTAATACATCCTACACAATCCCTGCAAGGGCCAAACACTCCCTGCAGAAGCCTATCCTCCCTTTCCACGGAAAAGGGCCCTCTATCCTGAACCAGGAGAAGCACCCTTAACCTACAGTAGATGCCAGACATTCGGAACATCAGTATCGCCCCACCCCAAAACATGCTTGAAAGGTAGCGCAAGTCCTTCCCCGGCTTTCTTCCAACCTTTGGGCTTTTGCCGTGCAAACCTCCCAGGTAAGTATATTGCGAACCACGAGTGCTATGTGTTAGGTGTTATGTGTAGTAGTAGTAGTAGTAGTAGTAGTAAGAAGTAGTAGTAAGAAGTAGGATATCACCTGGTTCTAACGTGCGTTTTCGCTACCTGGCAAACCTCAAGGCCTGGATCACCTGCGCCACCAGCTTCTGCGGGCTCGAGCGCGCATGCGCGGGCTGCTCCAAGTCGCGCCTCGGAGAAAGGATCATCTTAGGCGAAGAGTTCTCATAGGCATACACAGGGATGTATGGGGATTGTGTGGGAATTATGGCAAATCAAGGATTTGACCGTGACTCCTTTGGCCAAATCCCATGTGAAACCGGTACCAGTAACGTAGGGATGGAGGCAGATTGTATATGAACTCAAGAGAGGTGTTCCCACCCACTCAGGCTTTATAAGCGGTGTGTTTAGAGATCCCCAGTTACAATCAAACAGCTACTAAGTCCGATGAGCCCCAACGAGAGATCTTTCTTTAAGCGTTCCGTTAGGCGTTTTGAGTTCCCGACATCTCTAGGCACGTGAAGTCAAGGACCTGCGCACCAGCATCGCGAATCACCTTGCAGCAGACAGGGTTTTTATCAGGAATAGGGGTCCCGCTCCCCACAAAGTCCTATCTTGATGGCAGTACAGGTATCTGCGGAAAAAGAGGTCCATGATTTGGAAACAAGTATTTGCACTTGGTGATCTTCGTGATCAGGGTGATCAGAACCAGCGAGCCAGATCAACAAATACATGCATAGTTGCACAAGCAAAGACAGGTACCTTCGTTCTGCTAACCGCCGAGGCACTTGGGGAGATATTGACATTGCGAAATGTTTTTTGCAATCCTTATGGTACGATTGGGGCTGTACCATCACGCAAAGAAGAATGACAATTTCAACAATCCCTGAATGTAACGCGGCAGCCCGTTTTTGCATAGGCATGTAACACGGTTTTTAAGCTATATACAGCGTTTATCTTCCTAACTATTCAGGCTTCTAGTTCAGGGTTTGGGTTTCAAGCTTCAACTTTAGGTTCTCTGTTATAGCCGGCTGCGAACTGCAAAAAAGCCTGCTGCTCTTAGCAAGGCTGGATGAACATACCGACAAGGTCAGGACATTTCTACGGGATAAACCTCCTGCCTTATGGAAGTTCCTCAAAACAAGGTCTCTCGTCATGTCCCAAGGGTAACGTCAGGGATTCTACTGAACGACTTTCGTGCAGCATGCGCTCTGCCCTTCCAGAGCTTCGAGGTGGGGGTTGTGGTGTCACCATTATCTTGACACAGCGTCAGTAGTTTTGCTGGTGCTGCGGTAATCTAAGTCCCTTCACAATGCCACCGTAAATGTGCATGTATCTGTCCGTACTGAAGCCCAACTCTCGGGTCCCCGTAAGACCCGCGCATTTGCTATCTCCAAATAGGCATTGCGCTCATTGGTGTTGTAGTAGCCTCGGTTGCTCTTGAAAAATGCAAGCAAATCCATGACCATGCACATCAATTCAATGAAGATGCCTTGGTATCCTGACATCTCCATGCTAACACAAAGGACTTTCTTTTTTAGCATCCACAGCCAAAGGCCGTCCCATGTTCAAAACGGATTTCAGATCATCTTCGGTACGCTTGCCTACCCAAAACGCAAAAAACATACACTTAGAGACTGAGTCCTGAACCCTACTCCAAGCATGTACCTGCAAGGCACCCGCCGTGAGTTCGGCTGCGTGGGAGTTGGAGTCGTACCACCAGTGGAGGCCGGAAATCTTCGCTGAAATCTTCACCTGGGATCCGAAACTGCAAAGGTATGTAAATTCCAAAGCCTGAGATAAGGAGCCTTTTTTGGGGGACTCTTTCTTTAGAACCCACAAGAACAATCAGATTCGTCCACGCATGAAGTAGTGGAGCTTAGGGCTTCGGGAATAAGCGACTCCTTCTGAGCCCCCACCCTCAATACGCCTCGGCAAATAAACTTCGTTGACAACTTGGGCTCCTTTCCTTGTAAGCTGATATTCACATGTATCATCAAGCACAATACATTGCCCGACATACAATAAACAGGAAACAGTAGAAAACTGTTAACACCCCAAAGGCATCGATGACCTTGACCCTCAGCAGGGTGTGGAGATGAATGGCGCTGAAGAATGAGATCGTGGCTTGCTGTCAAGGAGCTGTGTCCAGGTCACACTAGCAAGGACACGTAGTAAATAGTGGTAACTTTGTTCATCCATTGCAACCCAGATTGCGAGGAGTGAGCAATCGGGGCCAGAGGAGGAACCCTTGTATTCATGGCCTCCTCAGCCAGGAGCATCACACGAGTCATGAATCTACGCTCGGTATCGTTTTACCAGACACTCCAACGAAACATCGCTTAAGATGCAATGGCACCCCAACAAGCCCAAACCTGGTTCTTGCTATTACAATTACCATCTCTCTTGCCATTGCAATTTCTCTTACTTGTTCTCTTACTTTTCGTTGTCACTATTGCTACTCCTACTATCCAAAGCCGGGAGGCCTCCTTTCCCAGGGCCTGGCTGGCGTGCCTCATGCAGTGTGTACGTCTGTCTATCTACATTCGAATCCTCGCTGATGCATGCAGTATCTACGGACTTACAAAATTACAGCGGCATATGAAAAGCAATATCTGGGATCTCTCGAAGATAGGGTCTTCTCATTCCACAATCACACTCTCTTTTTTCAGGTACTTTCCTTTTGTTCCTCCCAGTTGTTGCGAAACAAGCCACCTGGCAGCAGAAACTGAGAGACAGGGAAAGCTGGCGGTCTTTCGCTGTTTTATGGCTTTGGCACAGCCGCTGCAATGGCTCTGTAAAAGGAAGCCCGTGCCCTAACTCTAGATCCCATTGCTGCGTCGGCATGAAGCATTGTTAGTAGAGTTTCCGTAGGCTGAACCGTCGATCTTGCAAGGGTGAAGATATCTCTGGGTAAAGGATGTATGGGACGGGCACTAATTGATAAGGCTCGGATGGCAACCCCGGCTTTGACAAATCAGTTGCCCCACAAATGAGCCATGCTTGAATTTCTCACAATTTCTCACAAGTACCAGTTTCAGCCTGACTCATGCTTTGGGGAAGGTACTCAAGATTTGCAATACCTCGAGAAACTCTTGAGGTTCCGCCCCATTGCAACGCCTTGCGATATGATGACCTCCTGCCCTCGCAAGAACATGGGGGTTTCTCAAGGTACAGAGCCAGGAGGATGTACGCGGAGTACAGAGAGATCACAGGCAGCACCATTAAGAATCCTATAGAGGCAACCTTGATACATTCCAACATTCAAGCTTGGCGCTGCAGGATGTTGACGGCATGCTTCTTCAGCGAGTCAGAATACCACTCCAGGAAGAAGCGGCCTTGGAGTCCCCAAGCTTGCTTCGGAAGGCGATATGCGCTAGAGGTTCTTTGCACTAGAGGTTCTTGTCATGGGGCCACTCCAGGGATCCATTTTGCTACCAAGCACGAGCCGGTCGCTACTGAACCGAGCCTGCGGCGAATATACCCACAAGCAAGTCCTATCAAAAGGCAAGGATACGAGGCGCGTAGGATGGCAGAAGCAACGAGCATCAGACGGGACAGGCCCCTCACCACTGCTTAACTCATTCCAGACATGTTGATGCCAGTCTTTTGGCTTTGCACGGCTTCCCTTAAATCTCATCAGTGCCGCCGTGGCGCCATTCTCCGACGAGTAACCATTCCTCTTTGCAAGCAGACTGATGGTTTCAAATTGTGATGGATGAGAGCTCGAGAAGAGCAGAGCAAGGTGTCCACGTAAGAATCAGGTGGAGCGAGTGAAGAGAGATTGCAATGTGTCAAGCAGTTAATATACAACCTATGTCTGAGAAAGTAGACCTTCACTAGATTGAGCAGCACAGACTCTAAAGTAGTAAGCGCATGACAGTTTCGCAGCAGGCGGACATAAGGTTATCAACCCAACTTGCGCTGTCTGTGTAGGAGTGGCTGCAGGCCCCTTGTTTCTGGCACGCTGTCTTCTTTTTAGTTTTCCGAAGCTGCCCTACGAGGCTTGTTGCGATCCAAGTCGCGTGAAGAAATCGGTGTCCTGCAGTGGCGAGAGAAAATTGAATTTTGCAGTCTCGGCTTCAAAGAGATTTAAAGTTGTACACTAAAAATCCTTCCGGTTGCTCACAACTTCCCCTAGATATACAGCCACACAGGAGGCTCCGTTTTTGCGGGTTTTGACTTACACCCACTTGGCCTTGGCCCCACTCCCTGAACCTGCACGCTGAAAGGCTTTACAGCCACGCGGTTTAGGGTCTTGGGGTTTGCAGACTTGCTAGGTAGGAACGCCATGCAAAGTACTGTGTTATGGGATGGTATACGGGCTACTACAGCGATACGTTACTTCATTTCCTGCTGGCCAATGGTAAATAAGAAGTGGGCAAGCTTATTGAAAGAAATCCCCGTTTTACTCTTAAACCAGATGAATGAAAGACCTGTAGCAGCAGAGTCCTGGATGGGAAGACCCAGCATTGCTTAAACAAGTGCATGAATCGCAAGCGCGAAGGCAGCGAACCAAGAGGGAATAAGCAGGCCAAGCTTTGAAGAACGCTGGGAGTAAGAACATGAGAGATGCATCCCAACCATGCAGGACGCATGGCTTCGGCCTTTCCCAAAGCAAACGGAGCAACACTTATTGCAAAGGTCCTTGCCAAAACTACCTGAGATGAGTTGCGGCCATCATCTTGGTTCGACGCTGAGCTTTTGACTGGCCTTTGGTTAGCTAGGGATGAAGGAATGGATCCTTAAAATAATCCCTACATGGCCCATTTGAGTGATTTCCATCTTCTTTTCCATTCCTTCATTCCCAGCTGACCTAAGGCAAGTTGAACAGCTTCGGACTGAACATCTTGCGGAGACCATCCCGGGAACAGCGGGTCGCGGGAAATGCATCGAGTGATTCTGTGAAGTTGCTTGCCACTGCCTCGCACGAAGTCAACGTGTGTGACAGGCGAGCAAAAACCATGCGCCAGGATCCAGCTCTTCCGTGTCTGCGCTTGAGTTTTAGTGCCATTCGCAGGGTCTCTTCAAACCATTGACTCTGTCATAAAGGATGTTCTCATGTTCGTCACTGGCCCAGCCACACCAGAAAAGGAGCTTAGTTGGACTTGGCCCGAGCTGTGTGCTTGGCTTGCGACAAAGCGAAAGAAGTTAGAATAGAAGTTACAATATGCGGCAAATGCGGTCCTAAGGACGTTGTAACACTCAGCAGTCCTTCGGCTCATCGTCGTAGTTCCCTGCTGCCGGAGGCGAGGCGCAGTCCTCGCAGCCCGCTGCCTGGGCTGCGCCCCTGTGGCCGACGGACAGGGGCTTCTCAAAACTGGGATACCCCCAAGGAGGAGGAAATCCGAATGCCTTAGGTTTCAGGGAATTGTCCGAACCTACATGCGATACCATTCAGGTATCCTTATCCACGTTGTCCTTTAAACCCAGGAGCATTCAAATACATAAATTTCTGTATATATATATTTACAAATAGCACCCGTACGTATACAGTATATGACATATATACACACATAATCAAGGTGACTTCCGCAGAAAATTTAACATGTTTCAATGCGGTCTGCCCAATCTCCACTGGGCCCACAACATCAACAACCCCCCCAAGTCTCTAAGCGTATAAACACATGAAAGCTTCTGCGCATATGTATGTATATATATATGCATATGTATGCATATGTGTGCTTATGCAGCATTTACGTACTTTTGATTAGGTTTGAGCAGCAGCCAGGCTCTCAGGTAGACCCTGCATTGACGTCAAGTTAACGTGCAAAAAATGGTTTGTCATGCGAGAGACCTGTGCCGGAGCCCTCTCATGCTGGATCGCTGGCACCTTTTAACGACGAACGCTCTCATCTATGAGGTACGCCCATGATCTCTTTGTAGTCCCTGCTCCCACCCCACTGAGAGGGTCCTACTCAGATTTGCTGGTGCTCAAGGGGGAGTGTGGGAGTGAACGCAAGGCCCACTATACAAGAGGGAGTATTACGGTTTGCCCTCCGCAGCTCGGCTAAACTTACTGGTGGCTAGTAGGGAACTGGGGAATGTGCCCACGATGATCCGTATACAACCCAAATATTTCTCCTACCAGCCCCCAGTACGCAAAGGACCTGTAAGGGGATGTCCCGGCCTCAGGCTCTCCAGTGCATGCTTGTCGTGGCATTGGAACTGGCCTGGGCCGTGTACCACTCCGTGGCCCATGGTGTACCCTCAGCCTCAAACCCTAAACCCCCTCAAAACTCTAATTCCTTGACCCCACTCATCTCTAAGCCCTAATCCTACAGGCTCACCCCTCAACCCTAATCCCCCAAATGCCACATGTCAATTTCTGCTTAGGGTTTGACCGCTTTCAAGTTGGACTGCCAACTGAGCAGGCAGCCAATGCCCGGAAAGCTCCAGCGATCCAGCGGGTAGGCGGGATACCTAGGCTTACTTGGGGGTAGTAGGGAATGTGGGAATACATGTCGTAAGGATTATATATTCCCTCATTCTCTACTTACCCCCAGTGACTATGCTATCTGTGCATGCACCATACACCTGTATATTCTCATATGAAAATGTTGATGCGGATACTCACCGAACTGACATTCTTCGAGAAGCCCCATATATGGATGTGTACACACTCACTTATGCCTTTTGGACGTTACTTCAAAGAGCCCATCTTATTTAAAAAGCCACCTTTAACAAAGCCTGCCAGGCTTTAGGATGCATACGGCATGATTTACGGGGAGGTTCATGGGACCTACAGGGCTCTTACAAAAATCTTACGTTGCCCTGAAGACCCTATACCTTAAGAGCTATAGTATTCCAGTATGCTAAAGTCATGCCGAACTTTTACCATCGACAGCAGCACCTACGTCTACCTACACAGCAATTTACATGAGCGAAACGGAGGTTTTTGAAAGGGATGTCAGGATGACTCAAAATGTGCAACCCAGCGCCAGCGACCACGCAACCCTGCTTCCATATCCTAAAACATTGTAACTAGCAGTTGACAAGGACACTCGTGGGCAAAGCGGCCGCTAGAAGTAGAAAGCTTGATTTCCCACGCGCAGACTCCGCATCAAGAAGACCCTGTGGCAGTCTCCTAACTTCTCAAAAAATGTACGCCGTTTTTGCTGGCCCTTGCACCCAAAAAAAGCAGACTGTATATACACTCAGCGCAACCACATGAAATCCCTCGTCCCAGATGCGGATCCATTTCCGTTTCTATGTCGGGATAATATCCCTGTATGAGCTATGGCCTAAATTCCTAATATCCCCCTTAGTGAACCCTAATTAATATGCTCCCCTATAGAATCCCCTATATGACTCCCTTCAAGGAGTTTAGACTATAGCTCACATTTTTATACCCCACATCTAACCCCTATAGGGTTTTGAGTTTGGGGCCCTCTATCTCCAATCTGTACCGGACTGCCTCATTTCTCCACAGGGCCCGAGACCAACCTGGGCAGCTTTTAGACTGTTCGGGAGTTCCCCAAACTAGGGGTTACATTGTTACATGGGAGTCTTTAGGATATGACCCCAACAATGCAAAGAAGGGGTTAGAAAGGAAAATCTAGGATGTGATCCCAACAACGGAGAAGCAACATGTGAAAGAACATGGAACATGAACTGGAGCTGGGATGGCATTGGGCTTAATGTTTCCCAAATTTGACAGGTACTTTTTTGGCCGTCCCTATGATAACGACCATGGTGTCCCAGGTGCCCCCATTTAGGGAAGCTACCGTTCGTTGTGCTTGCCGTTTTAGGGGTTTTCGGGGAAAAGGGCTTTGGGGCGTTTGGACTCAAGATGTATAACAGTTGGATCGTGCAATACCAGCCCATCCTTCCCCAAGGCCCTAGACTCTCTTCCCGACGCTGTTGTTATGCTCAGGAGGAGCAGTTCTATTGGCTCCCAACACAAGCTACAAAGCAAAGTTCTACACCTAAACCTAGGAACAAACGTATCTAGGTTGCTACGTTGGGCTGATGGAGTCTTGATGAACCACCAAAAGAAAAATCGCTTTCTTGCTGAGGCCATGTATTGTTGCCATATCAGGATCTGCTGCGTTTTGCGAATGCATCATGGTCTCCAGAATGCGAGCAAAGAACGAGGCAAACAACTGCCTCTTATGCTCTACCCAAGAATCTTCCGTATACTATGTACGTCAGCCAGAAAGAACAAACCCTAAACACCAAACCCTATTTCTTTAGCCCCGAACTCTCATAGAATCATAGAACACGCAAGAAAACTTTCCAGATCCTCATCACGTCAGGGAGCCATCACTTCGATGATGGGGGCGCCAAGGTCCTGCGAGTGAGGCCAATGGTATTTTTCAATACATGGTAGCTGTAAGGATCGCGGGGCTGTATAGCGATCAGCAGAGGAGTATTGCGCGTCCCTACCAAGGCCTTTATAACGGTGATCTTGAGACCCAACAGTCCCCGACAGGCCAAAGTGAGGAATTGTTAGCGCTCGACCTTCAGTACAACTTCCATAGGAAGACGTAGTAGCGCCTCTAGGTTGTTGAAGATAAGGGTTTCCTAACATTACGGCCTCTTCTCAGAGCCCAATATGATGAGGACTCTATAGTTATGGGAGTGCTCTGAGGGACCCTAGTTCCGCATTGTGTTTATGACCTGCGCCATTGCATCAGGATACGCCTGTCAATCTCACAGGCAACGGAATTGGGGGCCAAACTGTCTAACACACGCTGGTAGTGTCCTCTGCAAACTCTGCTGCAAACGCTGTGAACCAGTCACCTGTAACAATCTCTGCAAGCCACTCATCCGCTTGTTCGAACTGTATAGACGGACCAGATGAACATGTAGGTAGGCTGTGCGAGCAGCTTATAGGCAAGTCCCAGACCCCACACATCTCAGCACATGGAAAAGACACGGAGGATTTCAGTGCCTAGTTATAGTGATGGCTGATTGTTTGACTAACGGCTGCGGGATGGACTGGTAAGGTTGTCTTGGCTAAGACCTTAGTTTCTGCCCAAGAGGCTTGCGCTCAAACTGATTGAGTTTTAGTAAGGCGGAAAGCTTGAGACCCCGGAAGCCGACAATCCACCGTCCGGCCAGGGTTTAGTAATAAGGGTTGGGGGTATAGAACAGCGGAATATCAAATGGAAAAAGACATCCAATAATGAACTGGAAGCTACAATACAGGGATTGCATAGGCAAACTATTCGAATTATAGTGTTAGCATAGGTCACAGCATCTATAGCTGATATAACCCCATTATAGTAGTTACCATTTTATTTTCCATTGTCCCCATATAGTAGCTTCCATTTTCTTTTCCATTATCCCAATATAACCCCAACAGTCCTTCTTTTAAAGCCTTAGAGCTCACAATGACCTCATGGATGCTAATCGTGATACCGCAAGTGGGGATGCTCACCATGATCACTGTGCTAACAGAAATAACCCGAGCAGCTATGCCACCCTAAGCCCGCCCTAGACCCCAAATGGTAGTTTCCATGTTCTTTTCCATGCTTCCTACACCCCTTTTATGATCCCTGGATCAAGCCCCAAACCCCTAAACCCTAAACGCTGTTTTATATCAACAACAGGACTCCAAAAAATTAAGCAGGGAGCTGTACATCTGCAGAGGTGTTCGCCCACCCACCACAACATCGTCGGCGAAAAGAGAGATGTACTCCTGGGGTCTAGGATTGTTTGGATATATATTAGGGAACGGAAATGACAATCGAAACTACTGTTTATTGTTTAGGTGCTCATATGGAGATATGTTGGGGAATGGACAAGAAAATGGAAACTACTATTTAGGTTTTAGGGTTAGGAAGATGATGAGGAGGTATACTCCTTGGGTCTTAATTAGACGGGAGTCGGACCCTCAGGCGTCTTAACACTAGGGCTAAACAATAACAGGTGGTCTTCTGATATGTTAGGGACGTGGTCTGTATGGACTTTTGCAAGGTCTTCTGGACACGATCTGAATGTGTCGCGAGTCGTACGCTCTCCGTTGAGACATCTGAACCTATCCAGCTTGAGTGCGGCTGCCCTCCCTGCCCGACGGGTCCTGGGTTTCTTTCCCTCCAGCATCCTTGTACCAAATGTCCGTCTCCTTCCGCACGAACTCCTTAGTTGGAGGGCGGCGAACTGAAGCGCAGCACCTCTCTGTAAGATGAAGCAAGGTATCCTGCAACAGACCGCTTTGAAAAGCAAGAACATCTGCGCTGCGGCAGGCAAGAACTGCAGACGCTGGGGGTTTGTTTTTTGCTGGTTCCTTATTGGGATGTAAGAAATACATGCATGTGCACTCCGCATAAGGTGTTTATTACAATGAACTTAGACGAACGATCCAACAATGACGCAGTCTGGGTGCCTGATAATTACTTTTGTTTTGCGGTACCCAGGGGAAGCCATCTTGGAGATAGAGCCATGGCCATTCTTGTGACAGCCCTGGACGCTGGATGCCCCTCGCCGCTTTATAGCGAGGACTCGGAAACCGCCTACAAGCGCATTGCGGAAGTGAGGTCGCATTTTCATCGTCTCTAGCTCGACTTTGAATCGTTGTGCTTAGATTCGCAAACTTCTGGCGACCGGTTTTGCTCTTTGTGAGCGATGCACGTGACGATTCTATTCGAGCCTGATTCTAATCCTGTCCCTTCTCCTGTCGCTTCCCGGTCTCTATGACTCTGAATGGATGACTGGGAGCAGGCAATGCTGTTACGCTTTTGTTGGAGGAAAGCACGAGACTCGAATTGCTGTACTCCTCATCCTTGTTGACCCAAGAACTTAACCTTCTCGTACTTAGCATGACAGGAATAGAACTGCCATCACATGGTTATCAAGCTTTCGCCAAGATGCTGGCAAGGGAATGTAGCATGCATCACCTCGCATCACGAGGAATGGAATTGCTAGGGAAGGCAGGAAGGGACGTGGGGATGACTCCCACAAAGAGTAGTCCCTGCACGGGTCACAGCCATACAGGGCGTTGGAGAAGGACTGGCGCCGCGCATTCGGACTTACTACGCCTTCCGTTTTTGTGGTTTCAGGGGGCTTCCTGTTTGGCCGGGGCTGAAGGTCTGGCCTAAAATTATATTGAAAGCCTGTGGGTTCTGGGCTTCCTCATGGCAACAGCCGCATGATTGTTTGTAGCAATGATGCCTCAGCATTCTAGAACAAGGGGTTATGGCTTGGGAGCGAAGTCTTAGAACTGGGGGACGCGACCTGCTCTGAAAAGGCTTCTCTGACTGTCAAAGGAAGCAATGGATCAATACAGTCCCAACGATCCATTTCAGTCCAGGGCCCGGGTCAGCCCTGTCACCCTGTCAACGCTTGAAGGTCTCAGCTCAGAAGCCGGAGTGCGAACTCCCTTTCCCGGGAAAATCCATCCCTCTCCCGTATGTGCCTGAAGCTTGAAAACCCCAAATTTTTCAACCTTACGTATGAGCCCATAAGATGGATGATTCTTTAAATCAGTCCGCGCACCGATATTCCCGCCGCATTGGTGGAAGGAGCTGACCATCTGGACCTTGAGGCGCCGGCGTTTGGCCTGGCGGCGGAAGGCGCATGCTTTTGAGAGTAGTCCTATGACCCTACGATGCAGACAGAAATACTGCTGCTACCGCGAAGAGTATTCAAATGAGTACTCATACTGGTATGTGTAGTGCCATTCACTTGTTTTCGTCTTCCTGTGACTGTTAGTTTGCAGATACCCTTTCTATCAGTAGCACATATGACTAGTGCCTAGAACCTGTACCAGCTCATAAAGAACAAGCCATTATAGCTGGAGGATTCCACAAATTAAGCCGAACATGACTTGCCTTACCTCCCTGCCGTGCCAGACGAATAGAGTCCTATGTAACCTCACATTCAATACGGTGTGAAATCTGGGCATGCCTCATCTAATCTCCAGTCAGAGTGCGGGGCTGTTCCTCAATAATCTTTGGCAGGTTCAGGAGCCCAACCGAAGCCGCCTGGCACTCCATCTAAGCCCTTGCCAGGCACGATCCGCAAACAGCTGTGCGCACTTTCCATTCTAAATCTCGTCGAGTAGATCTAAGACAACTGTTCCTGAACCTTGCTCTTGCTCTTCTACATGTCTGGGGTCCTCTCTCACCAGCTGCCGGTAGGCTTTGAACGAGTACTCCTTGGGCTTCGGCTCAGTGATGCCCCACCTCGACTGCTGAACACAGGGATCTCAGAAACTACTTTGGGGCTCAAAGGATGGCTGCCTTGACCGGTTGCGGGGTTTAGGTATTAGGGTAATATTGAGGTTATATTGGGGCAATGGAAAATCAATACTCTTCGTTGAACTAATCAGACCGCAGCAATCTGTGCAGGTAGGATCTGAACATCTGGCATATCTTTGCCGGCCACTTCTTCCTCGATTCTGCAGTCACCAATTTGTGGTTTAATGACATGCGATGGTAGATGCTGCCCCATCTTGCACTGCTCGCCATAAGGGATCTAGGACAAGTCTAGGAACGTACCAGCAGAAGACGCTAGTCCCAATTTGCTTTCATACCCACCAATCAAAAACACGCTTGCAGCCTTTGCCTCAAACCAGGCAAGGCTCGTGAATTTCTGTCAGTCAGTTAGTCTTGCTAGCCTCGGAGCTTAACGTACCATATTTGATGCTGTGACGCGTGCATTCTGCGAGTTGGTAGAGTCTATACAACCCATTTCAGAATACGTAGCCTAAATCTCCCATGATGACTGCGGCCCTATGCCTGCTACCCGCCCGGCAATTGGAATGTGTACATGCTGTTACCTCAGGTCCGATACGGGAAATGGGCCCTAGACGAGGGAGCCCTGCTTGAGACAAAGCCAGTTCCTCTACGGGCATTCAGCCTCGCTAGCATACGCACACATGACAACTCATCTCACTGGAAACACTCCCCCAGCAAGGTGGACCTACAGAACCCTCACGCAGTGAGCTGGTCTAAGAAAAGTTACATCCTACTCATGGTGCTTGTAAGCTAATGATTGATTCCGATGTCACGTCTGGCAGAAGTAAGGGAGCATTTGAAAACCTTCTCTTTCCTTCGCACGGAAAAACTGGACCGTGGGCATGATTCGGGCTTGTGGGGGCTTCAGAAATGCCGGGATCCCCTCAAACACACCTCATACTATCCATGATTGCACACGGTTACACGAAAATTCATGGGACGTAGCGACTACTGAAAAACTGAGAGTGGGGCAACCGGCACAATGTAAATCAGGGGAGCTGCAATGCTTAAAGCATAGCTCCAGCTAGAAGTACCAACTAGGTCTAAGCCTAAACCCTAGCCCATGAACCTCCAAGTCAGCCTCCCTATGTGGCCGTCAGTCAAGGCACCACACATCCACCATAAAGCCGTCCTTTGTTGAGAGTTCGAGCTTGAATGGGAACTTTGCTTCGTGAGTTGAGAGCTAATGAAGCTAACGTCCATGGCTTAACCTTTTTTGCAACCAATGCGTTTTAACGACAGACACCTTCATCAGGAAGACACACATTGTGTGCCATCCCTAGCCACCCTGTAATCCCTTGCTACAAACATACAATGAACAGAGTTGAAGGAATTCTCTGCGCCTGTAGGGCAATCACACCTGCCCTGCTACAGGCTTCCCCATGTAGCAAGACAGTTGCCTCCCAAGCCAATCAATACGTTGGCCATTTCAACACTGCGTCAACGCTCGCTCAGTCAAATTCTGTTTGAGTTGCGCACCAAAGCCACCAAGGTTTAAACAGCGACGCCACCTACACAACCCAGTGCAGCCTGTAGTAGAAGGGTCGGTCATCCCATCAGATTACTACAAGTCATGCTCAAAATCAAAAAGGACCACCAACACCACCAGTGCTGCTGCTGCTGCTGCTGCTGCTGCTTGTGCTACCACCATGTCGTGTACTATTGCTCTTCTAAAATGGGTCTCTCTGAGGGTTCCATGCTCGTTTCTGGGGATCTAGCTCCAAGCTCGCAACCCCACACTTGTTGTCGTTCAAAAATCCAGGCCGTCAACGACTTCCAATTTTTGATGACTTTCAGAGACTCCTTCAGATTAGTCCCTAAGATGCTATGACTCAGAACCTGTCCATGATGTCCAGCAAACTCAATAAACCACAATTCAAACGAATGCTACACAACCCCATCCCTATGTCCTGTGAGCCATTTAGTTCCCACGCCCAGAACTATGAACTCGCCGCCCAGGGAACGGCACCAGTCTCCTTAATACCATCGAAAATCTTCTTGAGATGGTCCTTTCGCACGCAGTCTGGGGAGCGTCAGGGTTCTAAGTTGAAAGTTCCTAGGGCACCAAAAGAGGGATCTATCAAATCCAGGGTTGTCCTAAAAGCACTCAGTGGAGTTTCAGACGGTTCCGGACGGACTCTGTGAAACCTCAAGAAGACTTGATCTGGCATCCCTCCGGCTTATGCGAGCTATAGTCTACAATCTAAACTCCTACTATCCCCCTATAATACCCCCCTATACAATCCCCTACATAACGCCCTTTTCAGGATTTTAGACTATGGCTCATACATTTGAGATTCCTAGCCTCCTTACGTTGACTTACGGGGAGTGTCAGTGGGGGAGGACGAAGTGATCGGAAACTCTACTGATTTTCCGGGAAAGACTGTCTGCGTCTTGCTTCCTCCTCTTGATCTGTCTTAAGCACTCATTGCAAAAAGGCCTCTCTTGGATTCAAGTATGTGTCGACAGGGGAGTTAGAATGCCAAGGTCCTACCGTAAGTATTAAAACTTGGTGATCGGTCTCGGTCAGCTTGCACTAACATGTTGCCACCTCTGAACCGCTGCATGCTCTCCCGTCTTCTCACTTTTTGAGTGGAGCCCCTTCATGTTTCATGTTCGTTTGGGGGAAACCAGGTCCTGGTCATCTATGTGGCCGGTGTTGTTGACGAGCGTCAACGGCATCATTAGGTAGACCTGAAGTGCATGTTGGGTCACTTTTGCAGGAAATTGCCGCGAAAGGCGAAGTCGGGAAGCTCTAGCGTGGGCAAACAGGGCAGTATCCAACATAACAGTTAGAAACAAGAGAACTCGTTCAAGCATCCTTGAAGGGTATGGAGGGTTCACCAGCAGAAGAAGCTACATATTCAAGGGGGCGAAAAGGCTGTGATTCTAGGCTTGTACCTGTGACTTCTTGCTGCCTGAATTCTTGGGTGAGGGGATCCCACCCTGACATACATGCCTGAAGGCCTCAATAGGGTTCTACAATGCACTCTAACTTGGGAACGGTGTTTTCTGACCTTGGACCGTTTTTGTCCGACCTTGGCATGCTTGCGTTGCTTTTTCTGACCCTGGACGCCACTCCCTCGTAGTCATGCTCTTCCGCCAAGCCCACATGCTCCTAGAGAGCTATTTGCCCGATGCCCCACAGCCATAGATCGGCCATGGAGCCATTAATCATGCCGCAGCTTGGCCGGAATGTCCCTCTACATGGATGATATGTGCCAGAGTAGCCTGCAACGTATCCAATTCGCACAATCCTGTGCGCTGCATGCCCAAAAAAAGGCAGCAATGGCAAGCTCGCTGTCGCTTGCGTGCAACGACATCGTTTGCGCACAGAGATCAATCAAGCCATGTTGAAAAGGTGCATCTAAAAACGGAACGGGTCGTTCGAGGGGAGGCACGCCGCAAGATACTCATTTTTTGCCTCAGATCTTCTTTCCTGAGAACCGTGAAGAATGCAGAGCGCGCAGGGACGTCGATAGAAGCAAGACTGCAACTCTGTCACAGCTGCTGCTGGACCAGACTCTTCTCGCTTAACTTCCAGCTGCAGCACACCATATAGTGGACAAGGACATCTGCACTCATACAACGTCGGAAACGGGAAGCGTGCAGAGAGGGATGCGGGCTTGGGGTTTGAAAAGACATGTTCAAGGATTCAAGGTTGAGAAGCTGATCAGTCTGGGCCCGTCGCAAGCCCTGAGCACGCCGCACAACGGGAACCCGACTTCCCAAGCAAACGAACTTAGCCTAGACCCTGATTATCCTTCCAATCGCCCCCTAGCCCGGAACCCTTTGACTCCTGCCATGGTTTGAAGGCCGCGAGGATGTTGTAAGCAAGCAAAACAAAAGCAGACTGACACTCATAAGAGGACTTTTCTAACCCAACTAGCAACCTACTTACTAAGTTTTTGGGCCTACAAGTCTCTTTACAAGCCGAAGGCCTCGGGACCGGAGGATTCGAGCCCCGCTCGGGCAGCAGCTAAAGTGGCAGCGGCAAACGTCCTCGGACTTACGGGTTGTTAGCAAGCAATGGGTGAAGGGAAGGGATGCCTATAGTAGCCCCTATATGGGGGTTTCCCAATAATAAGGACTATAGTACTTTGGGGTCTATATTGGGGTCCCCTTATTTTGGGAAACTACTATACAATCCCCAAAAATGTAGTTGTTGCCGTTTGCCCTTCTTTTCCATTCGCTCAAACTTAAACCCCAAAGGCGAGATGGTAGATCCAATTTCCTTTTCCGTTCCAGTATTCCCTACTAACGACCAGCAAGAAGGAGGCAAATACTCATGGGATGTTGTAGGGCAAGCCTTGATCTTAAGAGCATTTTCATGATGTTCTCATGGGAGTGCTACTGATACTGTTCTAATCACAGCTTTTTGCATGAGTGTCAGTACTGCGCTCCTCCTCCTCCTCCTGCTGCTGCTCCTCCTGCTGCTGCTGCTGCTGCTGCTTCTCCTCCCTTCCTCCTCCTCCCCCACCTCTCCTCCTCCTCTCCTCAGTATAAGGTTCTCAGGATTTGGGAGTCCTTGCGATGCGTTTGCGCACAGTTCGCTCAAGCTTTGAAAGACTCTACCGTCTTGCCCATCTCACTTCCAAAGCTCATGAGCATTCAGCGCCTGTCCAGACTTCATCCCACGAGGTTAAAACGATTCGAGATGAGTTACGGACAAGCTGAGGCAACAATTGTCAGAGGCAAGATCTCTTACCAAGCTTTGCTCTTCACGCTTAAATCCCAATTCCCCTGGCAGCAGAGGCACAGCCAGGACATCATCCATCTGGCAGGAGCCATGGCTGCTGTCTTCAAGAAGTGCGCACAGGGCTATCGGGGTTCTAGCGAATTCATAGCTTCTGAAGGAAAAGCACTTGTAAGTGAGGCCACACCTTCCCATACACAAGTTGAGCGGGATCATCACTAATTAGAGGGCTTTCATAGAACTATGTGGT